TGTGGTCTGCGTTTCGATCGTCGACTGTGACGAAAGCTGATTCAGTGGTACAAAGTTACAAGGACCAAAACAGAAACAAAAGTGAAAGTTTGGGGTCTGATCTTGACCCTCGTAAAACCGCTACCTTCCGAAATTCCCTGCCGAGGGGTAAATACAGGCTGCATTATTGACAGTAGCAGATATTACTGGATCTAATCGAGGGGGTGGTTTTAATATAGGGTAGCATCCCCCTGTTTACACATCAAAGCAATCAGAGCGCTACTTTACCGCCGCGCCGCACAAGGGGCGAAGTCCCATGGCCGACGGAGCTCCTCGTGGCAGGCACCACGCACTTGCTGTCAGTGGGAACGCATTAAAACATAACAAACCAAGTTTCACCTATTGTTTTGCGTGGGTGTGAGAACGTGGACGAAGCCCGTGTGATAACAAATCTGCGAGGTGAAAATCAGAACCCAAGAGAGAGTGAGAAATTATCTGCTAGGCCGCTCAATTGAACACTTTCTTCCGTCGTGTGTGCGCGCGAACATCACTTTCCTTCGACGCTGAGCATTTACGAGAATTTTTGGCCTTTCGTCTTTCAACTCCTTTCTTAATACTTCCATTATTACGAATGTCAGTATTCATGCTATTTGAAACATGTATAACAACTGTGGTTGCCATGGAAACCTTCACAAATAAGAATAATTTGACAATTAAATTCAATTTCCTGTAGACATTTGTATTTAGTCAGATAATGAAAATGGTTTGCCTCGAATCCGCTTTACCAACATCAAAATAATTTAATTCCCTATTAATGGGAGATGACAAAGAAACGTGTAATTTGAAGCGATTCTTCGTAATCGTTAGTTTCTGTCAGTCACAATGGGAAGCTTAACTCTTACCAGTGGTACCAACCAAACAACCTCTCATTCTGTGCGGAATTTAAATTCTTGAGGTTTTGCGCAAGTACGGATTTAATTGAAATTTAAACCGTCTCAAAGTGCTGTGTGATAAATATGCATTGTACATATTGCACTTTTGAAACTAGAAACTTAAAAAAATCTAGTCTTGAGAATGAACACATTTACCTCCACATGAAGACGCATAATAACCAATCTAAATATACGCACAAACTTTAATTAACATTTCAGTTGTTTCGATTTCTTTCGTCCACATTTTAACAGGTTACTCTTCGAAATTAGCCCCATACGGTGGTAGAAAGTTTTGGATTCGACTGTACTCGACTTAAAACTGCTACTGTTATGTTTGTCTGGTCAAGCCTCACAGAGAAATGAATACCCAGGTCTTTCCCAGAATTGTCCGTCGTCTGATTACACAACAGATTATCAGCAAATAACAATTTGAAATATGAAAAGTAAAAATGGCCTAAGGTATATTCGGAATAAACCCCTTTAGGTGACGAACATCCCATATTCCATAGATTATTTCAGCTGTGACTCAGTCTGCTCCTGCAAGCGTCGGAGGGCACAAAACAAATTTCCTATAAATCAAACGCTTTGTTTCCGTCACTGGAAGTAAACTCCACTATCGTCCGTCCCATGCGATAGAGTTCAAGTGAGAACTTGAATCAGCTTGGAATGTGCGAAGAGTGCGAGTTGACAGGAAATGATTATGGGTTATTTACACAGTCAATAGTAAGAAGCGATGAATATGTTCCTGATACTCCAAATCGTATCACACACTCATTAATTCACCGAGGATACATTTTGCGGCGAAATCCGAACGTCTGTCTGCGCACACTGGCCCAGGACTCAGAATAGAATCCTCAAGAATGTCTGCTCGAGTCCTCTCTCAAAAAGATAAAGAGACGAAACTTCGTGGTTATTATAATCGGTTAACAAAAACCTTCTTTGATCGTTCTTTTCCTCTGTTCCTTGAAACAAAAGTTTTAATCCAGTGAAACTGACAAGCGACAGAGCATTGTGCTGGAAACTTCCTGCGCGTAGAACAAGCAAATGGCTCTCCTGCTGGAAACAAAGCCTTTTTCCATTTTCTCTTTCTTTTTCTGACAGCTGGCGACTTAAAAGCACAAGGCAAACGCCACGCGGCGCAGTTTCAACCTCTGGTAAAATCTGTCCACCAGACTTCATGGAAAACTCCTTCGAGGTGTCTAGTTTGACGCCAGATGGCAACTGTATGGAGTTAACTAAACTAGTCAGTAAATTATTTTGGCCTATTTACGATCTCGAGATTCGATGAACGGATTCAGTGATGGAAATAAACTTTTTTTTAATTTTGTTCAATAATCACCATACAAAAAGATGTTTCAAATTATAGTTGATTTTGTTACACTTCATCAAACGTCATTCGAGCGACAGATTCGACCTAAAGCTCAGGCTCCAAATACGAAATTTAGTCGAAATTCGTTTCGTATTCTCGGTGTAACAACATGCAGACGAGACTTCCCGCGTACAAAGAAATGATACATCAGCCAAGTTGGGTAACAAGCTGGGATTACAGTCGAGGCGCGAAATGCGTCCACTTTGGCGAGAAGACAGATTCGTGTCAGTGACCAAGCGAGCAGAGTTAACGCTGGGACATACGTCAAGACCTAGGCGTCGCGACGCATCGGAATTCTTCACCCGAGATTAGAGAGAGAGGTAGATCCACGGTTAATAAGGCACACGGAGGCTGCATCATAAAAGTTTATACTGGGGATGAGGCCCCTCCCCCGGCGTTACCTCCTTTCAAATCCGCTGTTTCAGAGCTATCACCAACCAGACACGTCGCAGCTGCGAGATGGCATTTATTATTCTCTGGTTTACACATTCACAAAAAAGGGAGACGTCTCTGGTCTTAATGAGAACTGGCATTTTACTCATCTCTCTGTATGACAAGCCTTTTTGCATGTTTCGAAAAACTGGCGAGTTCAAAGGTCACATCTAAAGCGTACAAGGTATTGGTCGGGCCGAAGACTGGACTCGTGGGTTCGACTCCAATTCTAGTCACGGATGTGTGTTTCTGTGCTGCATTGTCCTGTACAGATAACAGAAATCTTGTGATGGTCCGATCCCCCACCCAAGGAATCCTGCCCATATTTCTATAAAATAATTCACCGTTAATTCTGAATTTCAAAATGTAGAAGGGCCCAATACACGAGGCTGAAGAAGTTTAATCTGAACTCATCCCCGTGTAAAGCTGTGGTTGTATGCTGGTCCAGCATTCAAGTTCGCGTGTAAACTCAGATCATCAAAAGAACCTACCAAGTTTAATATAAATCCGTTGCGTTGTTTCGGAGACAAAACATGCAGACAGATGGACACCCCTTTTCAGGAACGCGCCAGCCGGTTTTGCCCCGAAGCCGATTCCCAGACGCACGACTTCTCCATTCCGGGGCCCACCCAGCCAACTACCACGTAAGGACTCATTACGAAGGGACAAGACGGCTGGAACGTGAAGCCCAGGATTCACCTTCATATGCTATCGGGACCAAGAATACCGCACGTCTTAATTTCGCGTCATTTACCCAAAGACAGGCCTGGACCACGTGCATCTTGACAGCAATTTCAAGAAGTGAAAGATATTCCTGAATATTTTAAAAGTTTCAGCAAAATGTATTCATTTCCTGAGACAGGAAGATGGAGGTAAAGATCCACTTATTCTTCACCTCGGTACTCGATGAGCTTCGCTTTCTGGCTGCGGGCACCAACAGGATAGGCGGCAGGAAACCTAACCACGGTCGCCAAGCCCTTCCCAAACATTTTCTTTCTGGTTTCCTGACGTTTGCATCTGTCGTAAGAACTGAAAGCTAAAAGGCGCTCATTTTCCTCCTAAATATTAAAATATTCACTGCGCCAAAAAAAAGTGTTTGGAACAAAAACCATAAATCAAAACGAGGTACACGATTCACGTGCAATTGTCATCTACCTTAAACCTTTTACAAAAATGGGCAACTTTCGAATTTGAGCTTCATGTACAGAAGCGCTTGTAGCGGGTGAAAACGAAACAACTCGGTCCGACAACTTTTCCTTTGCAAACCCGAGTATAAAATTAAATCGAACCCCGCTCAACGAAACGTGCGGACGGACGGACGGACGACAGGCAGTCCAACCTGGCCGATGTCGCGTGAAGAACACGGCCTTCAAGAAAATGCGACACTGTGGTCGAGCCTGAACGACTTTTTACCCTTTCACTGCGTCACCTAAATCAGGTCAGCATTGTAATAACCTATTTCCATCAAATATATTTTAATATTATAATCATCCTCCTTGTCTCCAACTTTGTTACTCTGCCAAGTGGTTTTACCTCCACAATTCTGTATAAATGTCTTGTTCCCAGACCCGAACTACATGTCCACCCCATTCAAGCTGTCGTAATCACCCCAGCATATATTTGTGGGCGCACTGTCATCTATAATTTCGCGTTTTCATTTCCTTCGTCTTGCCTAGGCCCAAATGTATTACTGAGAAGTTCGTTTTTAAATATTTGCAACGTACGTTCTCAACACATTTAAAAAAGATATTGAGATATTGTAAGTGCGTCATATTGTGATTTATATATATATATATATATATATATTTATATATAGCCGAAACATGTCGTAAATGTTCCACATGTAAATCGAGTACTCGATAAGGAACGTAGAATGATATTTTAATCTTTTAATTATCTTATATTGTGATTGACGGCCAATTTTAATATATTTTTAACATTTAAAAAAGTAACTGGCAAAAAGATTATTTGTTTATAATGTATTTAAATTCGTTTCAGAAATCTTCATTTAACCTTTTGAAGCCCAAGCTCGTCTTCATAATATTTAAGAATTCAGTCCGTACCGCGAAGAAAACACCATACTTCACCATTACAAATATCAACCGGTTAACACCGCATAAGGCAACAATCGCTGTTTACACTGAGAATCGTTTGAAACCTATAAATTAAAACTGCTGATTGTTAATGCGGGAGGAACATACAGTTACCACTGGGCTGTAACAGGTTAAGTCGCCCTGTTACAAACATTAGAGAGAGTACCGCCATTTAAAATAACAACATTCACTCACCGTAATGGACTGCAAGTGACAGAACTAGACATGTGAAGACTGCATTTGTGGCTGATGTATCCATGGTGCTCACAGCGGTGTTCCACGGTTTATAAACTCAAATATTCAAAATTAAACATAAATAACAACTTAAAAAAACAACTGTTCACTTCAGAAGTTCTAATAGTTCATTCCCGTTGTCGTTGTTTTCCACGTTCGGTCGAAGTCCGCGCGAACGACCAGCTTGTCTGGGCGCTAGTTACCTACTGCCGACGCCAGAGCCATCTACACCGTTTTGTCCCCGCCTCTCCCCCGCACCGTTGGAGTACGGTTGTGACGTCACGATTGTATATAGTAGCTGTCACAGTAGGCGGGGACTGCGAGCCTGTAGGCGTCACTCGTACGACGTCCAGCGTCGAATCCATGTTCGGCGTAAAGCAGGAGACGGCACATGCGCTGTCTGAACTTCGGATGCTGCAAAATTAATCCAGCGTCGGTCCATATTTGTATCATTTTCGAAACGTAATTTGTACTTCAACTGTCTTTTTCCTGTGTAATCGTCTCGTCCGCCGAGGCGTGGCGCTAGCAGACAATCCCTTCTTTGAGACAAACAGTTTCAGCTGGGATCCGAAAAACCTAACCAAATATTTATGTACTAAGAAAATGTGTAAAATTATACTTTGGGGGTGGGGTGGAAGCAGAACTCCAAGCATTATTCACCTCGGTGCTGAAAAAAAAGCATCACGCTCGGGCCGCCTTACTCCCGGCCCTTACTGGATAAAAATATGAGTCAGAACGCGGTCATGACGAAGAGCACACATTTTACTCCCGTCGCTGATAGATTCCCGGTTATACAACCAGATATTTTACCGACTGAGAAACAGCGACTACCTTTTACTGATTTAATTCAACCTTCAAAGCTTTTCCAGGAAAAGAGTTGATACATTTCCTTCCTGTGAACTTCATTTGCCATTCCGAGTCTGAAGTGTGAGTTATTTCGACATCCTTATTTACCGACGCTTTGTAAGCAAGGTTACTTTTTGATAACAATAATTTTGAAAGCACGACATGAAGACTGAATATAAGTTAGAAATCGGAACTACGAGATCTGTTCTGTCCACTTGAAATTTTGCAGGGATTAGTAATGTTGTGGTGAAAATACCCAATCCCTGAAATGTCATCAGATATTCATTCCGACCTTCCAATTCATCCCTGAACAGGCCTGCAGGCCTGTTCATTCAGAAGCAGGAAGAGACGCGTTGACTCGCATAAAACTGAACAATTTTATTATCCTTTAGAGGAAATATTTGGTAAGTTTCTGTCTTGCTTAAAAAGACGAATCTAAATATTTAGAGAAAATAATAAGTTAATATGGCGATGCAGACAGTTAAAACAGAAAACAAATATTTATTAGGTTGGATCTTACGTGCACGGTAACGAGACTTGGATTCCATACACGGCAGAGATTTCTTGACCAGCTAAGCCACTAACAGCTTCTCAAGAACTCTACATCACAAGTGGGTGAAGAGAAACGATACCTTTATTTCAGGTTTCCCAACCACTTGTCTGTTTGCATTTCTCATATTACCCATGCGTGCTGCGTGCCCAGGAGTAAACCATCTTCCAAAAGACGCATCGCTTCGTAGCGTCGAAATCTGGACCTTCCGAATTTAAACGCGCCGTTGTCAAGGTTTCAACACCGCAGATGTGGGAAAGACGGGTGATGAGTTGATGCTGTGCGATCAGGTTCACGTTCCGGCCGCCCTGTCGTGTGCCACAGGGACGTGAGGGTTCTCTGTCGGTCGGTCCTGGCGAGTTTTAGTGGACGAAGTGGAAAGCGCGCCCTTAATCCCCTCTCAGGGCTGTTGGAGCGGGGGTGGGGGTGGGGGTGGCACTGCGTCAGAGTTTGGTTAGCCATTCATTAGCTGGGCATGCTTCGTCACACAGTGGCGGAAAAGACAGGATCCATTTTGCGGCAGTGAATAATGCCAAGCGTCAATCCCTCTTGTTCCGAGTCTCAAAATATCGAATCTTCAACGCCTCTCGTCTGGGATCGAGCTTACGAATGCCGTGCATGTAGCCTACCCGACCGGCGCACCCGGTCGCTGCTAACTCATGCACGTAACTCCACTGTCACCGCAAAACAATCAAAAGCTTAGCGACAGTTTACTTTGCCATTTGCAAAACCCCGAATTCAGGTATCAGACCCTTTGTTTCGAGGCTGATCCCCCATCCAAGGAAACCTACATCGCTTCTAACAGAACCATTAACTCTGAATTAACTCCCAGTTGACACCGGCCAGCAGTCTAATTAATGCTGAGCGCGTAAGAACGTACGAACGTGCAAGAATCTTCCTTAGTCGACGAAATAATGAAACACGACGAGTCCAAAGTTTGGAACAGTTTCACGGCGCTCACAAACTAGGAACGAATCATTCTCTACACGATTGTCGTGGCTAAGCGACTATCGTAATCCCGTTGCCCTGGAACCTCAGCGAACACGTGGTTCTTTGACACACTTCAATACCTCCACGCGCCTTTTTTCTTACGTTACCGGGTTCGAATCCCGACATCGCTGTAGTCTCATGGCTTTTCCTTATTATTCTAAGAACACGTAAATATCAGGAGAACGTGTTAATATACTCTACAACCGCTTACTTCCTCGCCCCTTACAATTCATCATTAAAATTCGCTTAATAACGCAATGTCAACAGTAAATGTTACAAAACGTTGACTGGTGCAACTGAGGAAAACCACAATAACCCTCAGGAGTGGCAGGAATCGAAGTGAGGGCCTGGTCCGGGCACCGAACTCGTGTTTCGGGACAGCAGGGCTTCCTTGGGATCAATAACAAGAACGGGGCTGCAACAATGAACTCGAGTCTCGGCCCCATGGCAACAGCACATCAACCTCGTGACGCAATCAATATGGCGTGCGTTTATTTTAGCGATAATTTCCGTTGCTACAAACAGCGACCACGTTAAGTTTTTTTTTTCATTTCTCTCTCGACTGAAAGTCAAGACGGCCACATCCTGGAGCGGTTAGCAAGTGGCGTACTTCACTCGCGTTGCATGACGCCGTATCTGAATCGACGCTGCGTTTTAGCACCGAAACTTTGATCTTGAGGAAAACCACGAGAGACGATTAGAAGCTTCCCATTCGAGATATCTGAGACACTTTACAGGCGGTACCCGAAGGGATATTTAATGTCAAATGAGGGAATAAATGACGGAACAAAAACCACGAATTCATCAAATCACGTACGCAAATTTATCAATTGAACCGGAAACAACATGAGGACAGGATGGGACAAGACA